TGCAGCTTCGTTTTTCACTGAAAGGCGGGCCTTGAGGCGGAGTCTGGAGGCGGAGTCACTGGAAAAAAGGAGGCGTCACTGAACCTATATTGCGCTATAGCGCCCCTCCCTTACAATTTTTTGCCGCAAAACCGGTACATTGTTGCTCGACGCGGACCGCTCTACCCTCTCGACGCTATATTTCCAGCTTCCATACCTGATCGCGGACCGTGCCTTTAATATCTGGCCAACACGACAACAGAAGACCTAGAACACCCCCGGTTCACCCTCGGAGGTTAATAGCATCAAAATTTCCCGATGTGCTACGCTAGAAGGGCACAGCATAGGGATACGAGAAGCGGTGGCGTTAAAGGACTCCCCCTCCCCAGTTTCTCCCTCCGGTATGGTATGACCCTCCTTCCCATATCCTACCACCAGTAATCATCATCTTTTTCCTCAATCCCCTACCACTTTTACCAGTTTTCCAGAATATTTTCTGTTTTTCCCAAAAAACAGTCTCAACTTTTATTTTAGTTATCGAAAGTAGATTGACGGCGCCTTGAACTGGGTAGCTACAACCCTTATCGACCAATTACGACCTCTCCTCAGCGATGGAGTACGACTACTCTGACGAGACAAAGACCCCTCCAAACGATGTCCTACCCTCGCCCGGCACTACGCCGTCGTGGTGAAGGAACGCCACACCTAGCGCCAGAAATGAATGATACACTTTCGATCAGGGCATCGAATAACATCTGGTGACGGACTTTCAGCGAAAAAATCTTACAAGGGAGGTCGTTCAGGGCGTGCCCCGCTTTTTCGAAACGGTTTAGTGCACTTTGTAGGGCCTTGCCCATGAACCGTAAAAGTGGGCTTCGTTTTTGCTGTGCGGCTCCAGGAAATGCCAAAAAAGGAGCGAAAAGAATATATAAAACTGAAGTGTTTTTGGAGCTCTACGAAGCATATAAACGCTTTGAAAGCTTTGACCAGTTGCTGAAGGAGGGACTATAAAGGTGCTATCGACTCGAAGATTGAAAGTAGTTGGATGGCGTATGGGTATTACTGTGGACACGTAATCAACGTGAACGGCTATCATGTGAATGGTTTTCGTGTGGCGATCGAGGAACGTTCAGCACAAAAGGAGGATGATCTAGGCGGATAGCGTGAAGGATTCTCAAGCGGACAGTTGGGGTGGGGTTGATGGTTCGACTCCCCTCGGCGTGCGAGTTTTTGCATTTTTTATGTTTTGCTGTTTTCGCGTTCAAATATGTCTGTGCGTGAGTATGCGTTCGATAACTGCCATTTATGGGCACATTTTTAATGGGAAACGTCCATGATCAGTGGCTAATTAATTATTACAGTTTTACATACCATTAAGCAAGACCGTAATTGAAAGTTGACCTTTATAGGTCAGACCATTGCCCGAATCACGAATATGGAACTTATTTGTATTAGGTTGTCCGGAAAGTTTTTAGCGTTTTTGTGCACCTAATCTTTGTACATTCACTGCTGATTAAAACTCATTCTGCCTTGCTTCTCAGTAGCACATCCTGTAGAGAATTTCTTGCGCTATCTGATGGTATAATTGCCGTTTCACCATTGCTTGATAAACCCTCTTTTTTCAAGATTTTTTCAAGCATGTGAAAAGAGCACTTCGGACGATTTTTTTCTTCGACTATAAATTGGGGCAATCCGCAATCGAAACAGCTCAACAAAACCAGGTGTGGGGGCCCAATAGTGCTAAAGAAAGCACTGTGCGGCAATGGCTCAATAAATTTCGCTCTGGAGATTTCAGCCTTGAAGGTGAGCCTCATAGCGGTCGACCTAAAGCAATATCTGACGAGGATTTTAGGGGGATTTTGAAGGTTGACCCATCCCAAACAGTTCGAGAGATAGCAGAAGAGCTAGGCTTGGCATCACTGTTGCAGATGGTCTGGAACGCATTGGGAAGGTGAAAAAACTCGACAATTGGGTGCCCCACAATCGGAGTGACCGGCAGGAATCGGCACGTCTCGAGGTTCCTTCTTCACTGCTTTTGCGCAAAAGAATTGACCCGTTTTTGAACGGATTTGTCACCTGTGATGAAAAATGGATCATGTATGATAACAGGAGACGTTCCGGACAGTGGTTGGATTTGGAGGAACCACCGAGGTAATTTTCAAAGCCGAACCCTCGCGAAAAAAATTCTGGTCAGGTTTGGTGGTCATCGGCTGTTGTAATCCACTATAACTTTTCATCACCAGGCCAAACCATCACAGCAGAACCCTACTGTGAACAAACCGACCAAATGTACCGAAAATATTGTCAGCTGCAGCCACATATCAAAGAAGGTCGATCTTTGGGCATGACAACGCCGCCAACACGTTTCACAATCACTATCCATAAATTGACGAATGTGGGAGTTGGAAGTTCTACTCACACATATTCTTTTTTCGACTTTCGCCACGCGACTATCACTTTTTCTAAACATTTTCAGAAGTCCGTTTGCTGAAAATACTTCATTCAGTTTCAGGACCCAGGCATAAAAGCTTTATGGATTTCGTTGAATTTTCGACTCCACCCAGTTTTTTCAGTTTTGATGGATATCTCGATCGAGCTATCACATTGGCAAAAGTGTGCTGATTCGAATGGTGCTTATTTGGATTAAATCCGATGAGTGTTAAGAAAGTTATGATCGTTTAAAGTTAAACACCCAAAACGCTGAAGAACTTTCGGGGCGAAATCTTAATACTAGCGGTTGGCCGATTTTTATGCTATTATGGTATGTAGACATTTTTGTCCAGTGAATGCGTTTTGCTATCACATCAATGTTAAGTGATGTGTAGTCGCTTACCAGTCAGGCGCAAATTATCGTTCGTGCGTAAATAAGTGTGAAAAATGATCGGGCGATTCGGTTACCCCTTGTAATTACAATCTTCGTCCAAAATTTTTTTTTGTCGATCTTTTTTGTGTGTGTGCCTTTGGGTTGTCCTGGACATGTCTTTCCTATACATCAGCAGTGCTGCGCCAAATGGACGCCTTTTGTATCAATATTCGAAAGTATAGATAAGTAAGTTGATGCGCATGATAACGATCAAATGAGGAAAGGTAAAGGGAGGCATCACCAGGTGCTGTATGTCTTGGTCTACGTCGTCGTTTCGGTCACTCGACTTCACGAAGATGGGGAATACTTCGGGTCAGCTACTTCGCGACCAAGTGGTCACCAATGAACCAAGAATCTAAAAAAATAAATTTTGGTGGAAGTCGTCGACTAAGGGTATTCGATGTCGTTGTTGATTTGTTGATCACTGTATTTCGAAGGTCGATCGTCAATTTGGGGGGCCTAGTATATCGCTTAAACTCCTCGTATAGGGGTACATAGTTGTAAATTTCATCTCTTTTTTGGCATTCGCAGGAAGCCGCACAGCAAAAACTAAGCCACTTTTACGGTTCAATAGGGGCAGCGCCTACAAATGTGCACACTGAACCGTTTTCGAAAAAAGCGGGCAGCGCCTGAATCGACCTTCCTCTCAGGGTTTTGGAGTCGTAATTTACCGCCATTCGGCGCTACCACCTCTTTCAACAAAATCGATGAAAACTTATATAGGGGGGGTCATCTATCATCCTGATCACGAATATCACACACGCTTTTGACAGGGCGCCATTTTTCGCGAAAAGGCGGCGATTTTGCACCGCCACTCTTCTCACCAAAACTGATGAAAATATGTATACGGGGTTATTTATACCATTTTCACTTTAAATCAGACACTTTTCAAACCAAATCGGACACTTTTCAAACCAAACCAGACACTTTCCAAACCAAATCGACTTTTTCAATCGAATCGGACACACCCCCTACCAAGGGCAGTTGATATGATTTTTCTTCCGAATTTTCACTTTTTTAGACTGTGACAAGCGGCCCCGCCACTAATGGAAGCTCCGCCCATTTGTAGAAGCCCCGCCCACTTTTCGAAAATGATGCAGCTCGGCGAGCTAGTGACCGTACTAGCAGGTTATGGCCTCTCCCGTCACATAGAATGAAAAAAGGGAAAGACCACAAAAAAGGAAACTTTGTTCCGGGTGACGGGAGACTTGAAAAGTGTCCGATTTGCTTTGAAAAAGTGTCCGCGCCGGCGCTAATGTAGGGCACTCTGGTCATCTGCGCCCTGCTAAGACTGAGCCTGGCGGGGAGGGTAGCACTCCTTCTCCCAGCCTTAGTCTTACCAAGAACGCTAAATTGTGCTGGTCTCAAAAAAATCAATGACATTTCCGTGATCAAGCACGCAAGTTTTCATCGATCCTGGTGAAGAAGGTCGCACCAAACTGGCGCCGTTTCGCGCGAAATGGCGTTAGGAACAAAAACACATGTCAGGCTCGTGATCAGTATGTTAGGCGATAAAATATGAACCCATTTTACATGCCCGCAAGTGAGATCGGAATGTAGGAAGTGCTGCTACTCGGTGATAGTGGATGATAGCTAGAAGAGATAGTTGATGATAACGGTACAGGATCTAGGCCTTGTCCCTTCCCACTGCGCTGACCAAATGGTTTTTTCCAAAATTTTATATTCCTTTTAAAAACCCTTCTGTGAAATCATTCCAGTTCTTCTTTACCGTTTTCTATCACAGAATATTTTCAGGAATATGCGAACCATGCTTGGCGGCTGATGATGGAAAGCTCAGCGGAGGCGGCTCCAGAGGCGAAGCGCTCCGTCAAACGTCCTTCAAGAGCGGCAGAAATTCGAAAAATTATTGTAGCTGATGGAGAAGAATGTCCCCATGGACCAGCGGGACCTGCAGGAAAGCCAGGACCGGCTGGAACGGACGGTGAACCTGGCAGAGAAGGATATCCAGGATCGCCGGCAGTACCTTGTCTTAAGTATAAATGGGAGCAATGTATCAGCTGTCCCTACGGACCACCAGGGCCACCTGGGCCAGATGGACCTCCAGGTGTTCCAGGACGAGAAGGAAACGATGGTCGTATGGGACTGTATGGTCAGCCCGGTCGGCCTGGTGTAGTTGGACCACCAGGAAGTAAGGGTGCCAAGGGTATGCACGGTATGCCTGGCTGGCCCGGTGTTCCAGGTCGAAGTGCCCAAACCGGAAAAGGAAGACGTGGGCCGCCTGGACAGATTGGCGAGGTAGGATCACCGGGTGCAGAGGGACTTCCTGGTGTGCCAGGTTCGGATGGAGCGCCAGGACCTTATGGAACCATGGGAGCGGCTGGTAGTCCAGGTGAACCTGGCCTAAATGGTGTACCTGGGTTCAGAGGTAATATGGGATTCCCTGGTAGTGACGGCACTTACTGTCGATGTCCACAACGTTCTATTGAGACTGAGCTAAGTAACGATGAGCTTAGGAAAGCTAGAAAAGCTAAGTTACGTGGTCGAATTTGATATGCTTCATTTGAAAGTATAGTTGTTTATTATGTGAATAAAATATTATTGCTGAAGTCTTTCGAAAATCAATGAGTCGACGAAAAATGAAATTTTTTTTTGGGGGGGGGGAGTGCGTCAAGACAATCGTAATTTGCCCCGCTGGTGGGCGTCGCGTGCGACGTCGCGTCCGCACGCAAATGAAGATGTTTCTAGGTTAGATGGCGACAGTATCTAGTGCTTCAATCAACACTCTGATGCAAACTTAGAAAACGCCGCGTCCATCGCCACGCGCGACGCGGCAGCAATATACGATTGTCTTGACCGTCTCCCAGTTTTGGGTGTATTGCAGCAGGAACAGGATGAGCCGATCACTCTTACTCAGCTATATTATAGATGCTTGGGTAACCAATAACCATAAGGATAAAGTGGTCGTTTCCCATGGGCAAAGCCTCATTCACAGATCTTTCGAACAGAGTGCGTAATGGCGTTGGGGAACGCTCCCCAACGACGGCTTCTCCAATCAAGCCCGTCGGATGTGGGAATTCTTCTCCATTCAGGTGTCAGGAATGGTAGAATTGATGCGCCACCGACTGGAGGACGTTGGAGGGGGGGGGGCGGGAAAGAAGAAGGAAAACGGAAAAATCAACTATCTTGATCTTTTTGTCCACCAAATCCGAGCTTGAGGAAATAACAATGTGTTTTTGAGCACAGAATCGCGGATTAATAACTGAACGATTCAATAAGGCCGCATTCATACTTTGCGGCAGCGTCCGCCAGCGACCAAAAACGTCCAGGAGTGGAGAGCATGGGGCTATAGGAGGGTAGCAGACTGCTGGTAGAGTATGGGGGCGTTAGGATGGCACCAGCTGTCTGCTACCCTCCTATCGCCCTATATTCTCCACTCCCGGAAGCTGCTGGACGCTATATCGATATCTACACTTTCCTAGTCGCTGACGCTGCCGGTTCGGGAACGTCTCACTGCTGAACGCTGCTGGTCGCTGGTGGACGCTGCCGCAAAGTATGAACGCATCCTAAAGGAAGCGTTGCTCTTTGTAGTCAATTCCGCCTTACCCAGAATACCTCGTTTGTTGGAGCTCTTCGGACAGAGGTCTATAGTGACTAGTTGCTGGACGGAGAGGGGGGGAGGTCTGGCAACTGTTTTTGAGGGAAAATGTTTTTGTTGTTAGCCTCTCTTGAGTTTTTCAGTTCCCAGGAGAGCAACATTCACCCGCTCGACGACAGCTCTTTTTCCGAGCTTTTTCCTTCTGGAGAAAAACTGGAGAATTTTTGGAATAGGCAGGAGGATGGCGAAGGAATGGTTCTACCATAGGAGACAATTTTGAGAGAGGGATCGCATTTTGCAATTTTTTTCCTCGACGGCCATTTCTCCCTCTAAGAATGGATGCCCGCTCTAAACAAGGACGTCGCTCGGCTGCGAACCAAACAGAAAACGTCCAGCCCAGTCCTGGAATACTTTGAATTTCTCAAGTTTTTTCTCAGCCAAGCGAGAGAGAGAAGAGAGAGTGGTGTAGACTCGAAGTAATGACATCCAAATGGGCAGCGCCAGAGCTGCTTGACGCGAAAAAGAACTGCCCTCCAGGTTTATCTGACTTCTGCTGAACGATCCAATCGTCCTGTGGCCGAACGGTGTCTTGGAAGGGGGAAGGACGTATGGTCAAACCACTAACTGAGAATGTAGGCCGCATGATTTGATTTACAGCATTCTTGCTGCCACAGCCGAAAAATCGCTTCAGTAAGCAATAAAACCCCATGTTCACCGTCTGAGCCGACGTCATGGGCGAGGCACCGGTATGGCAGTGGTGCGTATTGCTGAAGACAACTCCTGCGACACAGTTCATGTCTGCAGCGTTGCCTGGAAAATTTGTGAGATTCTCCTCCCTCCTGCAAAATTTCTACCTCTGGGAACAACGTCCCTTCTCCTTACCCTGTCGTACCTAAACTCTCCCGAGTCCCAAGCTATTTTCTATTTTTTCGCGATTGTCGAGCTGGGAAAGGGAAATTGTGATCGAATTCTTGTATCCAGATGTATATTCATGATATCAAGATGATCGATTTGACAGTTCGAACAATTCGCGGTTATAGATGTTGACGGATGCCAATCAAAGCCAAGAGAGGGGGTGGGGGTGGGTGCGTCTGTAACAGGAAAAACCAACAGTTCAAAATTCTTCCAAAAGCTGATAGCCCGCTGTTCTGGCTCAAGCGGCATAATCTCTTAGAAGATGTAGGGCAACAATCAACTAACAAAAAAAGGAGAGGGTAACACGCGCATCACAGTGAAGAAAGCCTGTCGATGACAGCTTTATAGGGCTCCCTTTTGCACAATGCACTGAATAAGCGCCAGCCAGAACCTTTGTAAGTGCCACAAACTTTCCGATTTTATCACCGTCGCGCAGTTCGGCGACGGTGGAGGAGGGGCATTTTGCATTTCGCTACTAACCAGGCTACTTCACGAGCGGTACAAAGGGTTGACAGGTTTCATCACGCTATAGCTCCAACGAGCCCACTATAGCGCTAAAACAAGGTTTCACAGGCTTTACCAAGAGCGAAACCTGAAACCGAATGAAAGTGCAGAATGCCCCCCGCCGCCGTCGAACAGCGCCATCACCGTCTTTGAGAGGAAAGAAAATGTTTCGAGTTGTCAAATTTTGGCCTACCCGCTAACCTAAGTAACCCATCAACATTAATGTTCGGAAATCCCGCGCAGAGACACGCTGGAAAGACGGTGGGTCCGTCGGGTCCGGTAAAACTGGGCCACGCCGCGATGAGAAACGAAACTGCGAACTCCGGCATCCACGTTTGAGCGGCAAAGCTCTCAACACGGAGAGCTTCTGTCAAATAAAGTAAAAGAAGACGGCCACCTTATTAGGTTGGTCGAAAAGTCCTGCGACACTTTGATTAAATTGTTCTGGAAAAAGACCAAAAATCATTTTGGATGTTTTTATCCCTGATTAGTGGAGAGTGTCCTCTGAGGTTTCTGCACATGGGTATATCATGGCTTTGAGGAAGTTTTCAAAGCTTAAAAGTTCCCCAGAGGTCGAGGTACTTTTGGACCTGTCCCATATTATGAGTTCCTCTAGGGCCACTCCGCCGTAGTCGAGGAAGCTGACACTTACGTTGTCTTGAGGAAGGATATCGCTTGCCATAGCAGAGAGTTCCTTTTGCATCAGCGCTTCCAGGCTGGACTTATTCAACGGAAGTAGGCAATGTATAGGTCGGCCACCAGCACAGAATGACGGCCCTTTACTCAAGCTTCTTGAGGCGCAGCCGAACGTAACCACCAGTAAGTTGGCAACCTCTAGGCTCCACCTAACCGACAACTGCCATGCTTCTCCGCACTCTCGGTTATTGGAAAAATTTTTTATGAAGGATGTCTCATGAGTTGAACCCCTCTGACAAGTCATACCGAATGACCGTGACTGAGTTTTTTTTCCTTGTACACACTGGAGGAACATTTGTGAGATCTTGTGGTTGGTAGAGAGTGGTGGGGTCCTTGCGTACATCTTGCACATGTTCCTCGCAGGATCTCTCGAACAGAAAAGTAGATGCACAGCCAAAAGCACATGTGCATGGGAAAAGATTTCAGTAGGTTATTGGTGGGACTTCAAAGCGGTATCTCTGGATACTAGCATAACGGTAAGGACTACAGTCCACTCTAACCAACCTCACAACATGGATGACGTCACGCTTAAATTCTTCAAAAATACTCAATTTTTCTCTACCGCTCGGCAATGCGAAGACCGCAGGTTAGGATCAGGCCACACCAAAAGATCGTGGATCTTGATCTGAGAATGCCAACCATACCCAGCTTATTCATCAAAGTTAGCAGTCTCTAACTACTACCTTTTTTTTGATCCCTACCGCATCCTTAAGAAGGCAAAAATTCCGAAAATCGACGTCTACTCAAAAATGAGGTCCACCTCTTCTTCTTATCATAGTTGCCGTAGTTCTATAAGAATGGAAATGAGAAGCTGTGCAAAAGAAGGGCACTAGTCCTAGTCCTTAGTGGTGATTACCTTGTAGATTGGAGATGTCTTTTAGTGACTAAAAATTTAGACCGAAAAATTGGTCAAAGTGTCGCAGGACTTTTCGACCAACCTAATATTTACCTTTACTGCCCC